GCCGGCAAATGCATTAACGCCGTGCGTCCCGACGCCCAGAGGTGTGTCGATGAGGCCATGGATCACATCATAGGCATCAGGAATATAACCGACAATAAAATGAAAATACCGTTTGTTTGCTGGTAAGGGGTTTAAGATTTTTATTATTTTGTGAGTTTTGAATTATCTTGATTAAATATTTGGGTTTAGATTATGTGTCACTTATTTTACATTTATTTATGTTAGGATTTAGTTAATAAATTATTTGTATTCATTAGTAATTTTTAATAACTTATTTAAGTTGCTATTTTAATAAAATAATTATTTTTTAGAATGAAATTACCCTTGTTATTTGAATTTAATAAATTATTTTTACATAATGAAACTAACACTAAAATTGAATTGATAATTTATGAACTAATTAAATATACTTTAAGCTGTAACAAATAAAAATACTTTACTTATTAATTAATTTTAAAATTATTAATTAATTTTTTAATTACATTAAAACAATTACTATTTTGTAAAAATTTTTATTTTATTTTTTTACCTAGCACATTTGTTAAACTGAAAGCGTGTCTACTGGACCATGGTCATAAAAACAAACAGTGCACTGAACAACACCTGAACCTATTGCTCCGGCAGTCGGAACAGGTATCTAACGGACCCATGAATATGGCGTGCGGTGACTATAATGAGGAGAGCGACCGGTGCGACAAACTGGTCATACCTAAGCGACAACAGGACGAGCCCCTACCCAAAAGCTTTTTAATGCCCCTGGTCGAGCTGTTTGATAGTTTCGAGGAGTAGCTTGATAATTAATTATTGAATTTATAATTAATATTGATTGTGTAATGTTAAAGTTTGATAGTATTTTATTGTATACTTTTTGTATAATTGCATTTATACTTGCTATTAACTTGTAAGACATAAAGTTTTTATATTATTTAATATAATGTTTTTGTGATGGGTTATTTTTGTAAAGTATGAAATACTGAATATAAATATACAAATTGTAAAACAATTTTTAAAAATATTTTTAAACACTAATATCGGTGGATTAACATTTTATTTTTACTTAATGTATGAATTATAAATAATGTTATAAGTAACCGCAATGTATATGCAAATAACCTTGACCATAAAATAAACTTAAATGTAAAAATAGCCCGATGTATGTTTTTCACATCATAATAATAGTAATAATCGAGTATTCAATCAAAAATTATTATGTAATCCAGAGATAAAAACAAATTAAATATCGATTACGAGATGTTAATAAGTAGTTCATTGAAACCTGTGGTATACGTGCGGTTAAAATGGCTAATAAATAAAATACATTTTGTTTGCAAACTATAGATATAAATTATTGAAAATAATTTTATTTTTAATATAGACTAAATCTGATAATAAGTACTAAAAGTTAAATATTTTATATTATTTACACTTATGGTAATTCTCACATTATTTGACATTAAATGTTTAATAATTTTGATTTAAAATGTAAAATAACTAATCCTAGATTACTAATCCCAAATGTAATTTATTTTGTTTAAATATATACTTATATAAGTTTATTAAATAAAAGTTTACAGTTTTATTGTATAATTATTAAATCATTATTATAGTGTATAAATATTATTATTTTATTATACAGTATAATATGAAAAACTTTATACCAGTATTACTTTTATATAGCTAACTTTTAAATATACATAACTTTATAATAGCTCTCTCTCTCTCTCTCTCTCTCATCTAATTATAAAAGGATTTGCAATCAATCTGTGATTAAATATGAAAAACAAAAAATAATAACAAGATTTTAGTGGACACAAGGATTTTAATATTAGAAATTCGTAAACGAAAATAATATTAAACTTTTAACTGATGCCTACCCTTGGCTTCAATTAAATGCAATATTTTTTGTTTGTTTTCTTCTAAAATTCAATTTTCAAGACTATTTGCGATCAAAAACTATTTGTTTGTCTGAAACTGAAAAATAATTTTGTTTTATAAAAATATCCGTATTAATAATAATAACACTTATTTCGCACATGTATGTCCTGTGGTATAGTTTACCGCAAAATATGTGTAATAATTATGTAACTATTGTGTGGATTAATTACATTTTTCACATTTCCAATGACTATATATAAAGTGATGATAATTCTGGTGGTAAAATATTTTTGAGATCTTTAATCTAGTACACAATTTATAATAAACTATTATTACAGCTTTATTGTATATAATAAAAGTTTTTAAATTATGTATCTCATATTAAAAGCAAACTTTTTTATTAAATATTTATGTATTTTGTGTGCATGTTATACGTGTGTATTAGCACAAAAGGATGATGCCAGTCCCTCCCAGTCCACCACAACTACCATAAATAGTGGGTGTAATAAAAATACGCTAAAACGTGTCGATGAATTGCTGGCTAAAGTGACCACATATGGCAATTCCGGGCGAAAGTTCCCGGAAAATACGGAACAGTTGCCTAAATATTGCAAGTATGCCAAAAAAGGTGTAATAAAAATACGCTAAAACGTGTCGATGAATTGCTGGCTAAAGTGACCACATATGGCAATTCCGGGCGAAAGTTCCCGGAAAATACGGAACAGTTGCCTAAATATTGCAAGTATGCCAAAAATATTTATAATTTTGTATAAGGGTAATTTTTGTTAATATTAATTTTGGAAATAATTTTAGTGAAAGCAAAACACTTGTGGAAAGTATTGAATCGCTTAATAAGCGGTGTATCGAAGGGTTGGCTAATAGGGTACTGACTGTCAGTATATTCACCGTTAAGTCCGTTATTAAACAGTTGTGTCGAAAGTCCAACAAATTATTACCCGAGTATTTTGAGGCGGCCAAGTGTATTAACACTGTTCAGAGCCAGGTAACTTTTGTAATTAATATAAACATTATAATTCTAAAAATATTCGATCTAGGTTGGCAAATGTTTTAGTAAAAGTATCGATCATTTATTGGGAATGCAACTAGCAACTGAAAATAAGAAAATACCCATGGCATGCTGGTATGTGATTATTAATTTTTTAAAATAAATTATTAGTGTTAGTGCTTTACGTAAGTTAATATTATAAATTATTATCGTATTATTGTAAGTTATACTAAAACTGTAAATTATTATTGACAAATAAAGTAGAAATGTCACTATGTTTCTATTAATAATTTATAATTACATAATATATAAATTTTTTAATAATAATAATTATTGTATTTCACTATACAGTTAATTTTATGTGTGTGTGTGTGTGTGTGTGAGAGAGAGAGAGAGAGAGAGAGGAATGAATTTTTAATGAGACATTACATAACAAATAATCACTAATTAATTCATTCGTAATCTAAGACTCGTATCATAAATATTGCAGTGAATTACCAAAAATGCGGGCCTGTATAGAGGACGTGCAAAAAGGGCTGGACGTATGTACGGAGAAAAACATAGAGAGCACCAACCGTTTCGTGGACAGCATAATCGGCAACTCCGTGAACCTACTGGCCTGTGGCGAGTACGTGGATGGAGGTGCCAGCGATAAGTGCGACAAGTTTTTGGTACCCAAAAAACGTAAGTCTCAACGCAGACCCCGTTCCCTAGTAATGGCTTTCCTACACCTGATCGAGAGTTTCCCAGAAGTGGAACAGGAAAAGTGAAAGGGGACTGGTAGGTTTTTTGTTTGTATGTGTTTTTTGTGCGTTAAGTTAAACATTAATAATAAGTTTTAAAATGTTTTTTGTATGCTAGCTATGTTTAATGTAGTGTTTAATTGCTTTATGTGTGTTTTGTATGGAGATTATGTTATTATGGGATGATATTTAATGTTTTATAATTGTATATATTTTGATAATTGTTGCTGTATTTTATTAATTAAGTTATTGCTCATTAAAAGTATTTAATTTTCAATATTTGTGCTCAATTTTTATCGCCGATTAAATTACATAATAAACAGAAAGTTAGATAATTAAATTAAAATAAAAGATAAATTAACGTTACATTATAAGTTATGAAAATTAGAAAAATATAAGTTACATTATTTACATTATTTATATTATTTATATTACTTATATTATTTAAAAATTGAAATGTTGTTGTACTGTTGGACCCATAAGTAGATATATTTTGTACTTTCAATAGATATATTTGAATATAAATGATAAATTACAGCTTTTACCACTTAATAAACATACAAATATTTTTATACAGTAAGCTTTTAATTGTGTATTCAGATATTAAATAATATTTAAGATTTTATATTCAAAATATTTAGCAATATCGTAGTTTAACACGTTGAATGAATTGGATATTAATTGTATAATAATGGTACAATTATTATGTAATAGTTAATAAGTCATTTGCATAATATATTTTACAAAACAAACAAACAATAATTGCCTAATTAAATATAGATTTCAAAACAATCAAGGATGTGTTTATATTCACCGCAAAATAGACTAATAATCTGGCTCAATATATTAATATAATAAGATTACCTTGGCTTAAAACACAACTATTTAGACATATAAAATTAACTACTATGTAATGTACATTGTTTTGAATAATTTAATTACGAGGTATAATAAAATAATTATAATGATTGTCATAACAATAATGAATGGTATTATGACACTAATATCATAAGCCGTGTTAATCTTATGGCTTAAATAAAAATAGATAATCAGAACAAGTTTTATGTATGCTGATGAAATAAATTGATATATAATATAAATATGAAAAATTTACTTTTATTTTAATCTTAAGTTTACATATTATGAGAGATTACTAGTGTGTTAAACAGAAAATATATTTTATACATAATATATATTTCACTTTTACTTTCAATACACAAATGAATGAATAGTTTTATAATTAATATTTGAATAAAAAGTTTTTCGTTTTTTCGTTATAAAAAGTATTTTTGAAATATATTTCTCGCGAAAAATCCTTCAGAAAAATGAGATTTTTATCGTTTGGCGCACTGTTTGCGACACTTTGTGGCATTGGTTTGTGCGCTGATAGCACCGACACCACAGCACCGGCAGCTGATGTGACCTGCGATAAGAATACGCTGAGACGTATCGATGAGCTAACGGCCCGCTTGACGACCTATGGGAACTCCGGCCGCAAGTTTCCCGAGAGTTTAGATGATATGCCTAAATATTGCAAGTAATATACAATTGACATTACTCACTTTTCATATTAAGTACTAACATAGGTAGCTACTTACTTGTTAATAAATTAACTAAACAAAAAATTAATTTTGTTAATTTTGGTAATTATTTTTGGGCTTAGTTTTGGGATTATTTGCTTAAAAGTGAATACATTTAAAAATAAAGGTGGCTTTGTGAGTGCAAAATGTACAAGATGTATTTTCTTTATATATATATTTAGAGTTTATTAAATACAATATTACAGTTTTATGGTAAAATTGTCTATAGAAAATTAGTAATTATTAAAATTAGTTTATTAAAAATTTGAAAATCATAAGAAATACTGATATAATTTCAATAATATTCTCTCTTTCTCTCCCTCTCTCTCTCTCTCTCTCCAAATAGTGATACGAAACAAATTCTGGACTCAATCGAAAAATTAAATAAAAACTGCGTGAAAGGCCTGGCTAAGAATATATTGTCAGTGGGAATGTACACCATAACAAAAAGGCTTAAAAAGAGTTGCGGCAAAAAGTCGCCCGATGTGACCGAGCTCAATTTCGCGGCCGGCAGGTGCGTGAATAAAGCGCATAATATAGTGAGCAAATGTTTCACCAGGGGCATTGATAATTTATTGGGCATTCAACAAGCTGAAGAGAAAAAGCGTATACCTATGGCCTGTTGGTAAGTGTACTTGTATATTTATTGTTATCAAATAAACATTATATTTATAGCTTATGAAGCTTATAAAGTTTTTTATTGTAAATTAATTGTATGATTTATAGCAAAATATTATTAATTTGTCTGTGGAAATTATTTCAATTTACTATATTAAATATAGCATGTTAATATGCTTTATAATTTATAACCCTATCTAGCTATCTAGCGAAAATTAATATTAAATAATATAGTTTAAAAGCTGTAACAGTTAACGTGAGAAAAATACACATACAAAGGTTTTATAGCTGTATTATTGGGCCTATTATATAGTCATACTTTTAAATTTTAATTTTATTTTAAAGAAATCAGTTTGTGAATTGAATGTTAAATACCTTTTTAATCCACATTAATATTATCAATAAAAATGCATTTTATATACAATACATGAGGAAAATGTTGAGCGATATTTCAAAATCTCATCAAACAATTAGTGTGAGAATGTGTGAGCCCTTGGACTCGAAAAATAAATTTTATTTTTAATTTTCTAGATTTAACACACTAAATGAGATTATATTATTGTGCAATATGTAAGCTAATATCGTGATAATATTTTTAAAAATATTACTTCTTAGTTACAAATAAATATGAATAAAATTTTTTATTTTATTAAATTTAGATATTTATACAGAATTTAGTAAAAGAATTATAACTATGATAATTGTTTTGTTTTGATTTACCAAAATATTAAAACTTAATTAGACATTAGTGATTCTATAAATAAATAATTAAAATAAAATCATAGCTTTTAAATGTACCAAAAATGTATAATATTAAATATTTTAAAATTATAATTCATTACAATTTTAATAGCGCATAATTAATTATTTAAAAACAGAGATGCTAGAGCCTCACCCAAAATATTATAGACAAAGTAATAGTAAGATAAATTATAAATAAATGCACACGTTTACAGCTTGTTGAATTAGTTTTAAAAAATTTATACTAAATATTTATATAAAAAATTGTTATTTTAAAATTATTTCCAATAGCGAAGTGACAAAACTGAAGGACTGTATCCGACGTATCGTCGATAAGGTAGACATCTGTAAGGATGAACACACGGACCTCACCACCCGTTTCATAGACTCCATAATCGGCAACTCATTGAACTTTGCCTGCGCCGAGTACTCGGCCGACTCGGACAGGTGTTCAACGCTAAGGGCACCTAAAAAGCAGAAATCTCAACGTAGGACCAAATCCATGATTATAGCGTTTTTGCAACTTTTCCAGAGTATACCGGAAAAGGCTGGCGACACCACCGGCACCAGTAGCAAAAAGGACACGGATGAGTCGTAAATTGTTGATTAATTAATCGTGGTTTTGATAGTGGTTGTAATTATTGTGTTAAGGTAGTTTATTTTGGTTATTTCTATTAATTGTATATATAGTTTTTGAATTTAATTATTGAGGGTTGCCTAGTAAGGATTTCCGTTTGATTATTATATGAAATTAAATGTGTTTTTATAATGAATGTTAAGTTTTTAATTACATAAATATTTTGAGTCTGAAATTGGCTGTCAATGACATCTTATTGTAAATATTTTTATATAAATAATCATTTAATTAACGAAACAATTGTTGGTAAATATATAGCATTTTATTTCCTTATAATTATTAGGATGAGAGTCAAGGAAAGTCTTTGTATTCATTATATTTCAGTAATTAATAAAATTTTGCTTGCTAAATTAAAGTGCATTATCGTGTATTTCACATTTGTTTATAAACTAATTTCTAATCCTAAAAGAAAAATTTAATTTCTATTAAATTTATTTAGTTTGAATAAAATACAAAATTTTAATATGTATATTTTAAAAGGGTCTGACCTGTATAGTTTAATATTGTGTTTAATTTTGCATTGATAAAATTAAAAACATCAGTTTAAAAATATAAATCAATAAATAATTTTAGACCGAGACTAATCCATTTGCTAATCCAATAGAAAAATGTATTATTATATTCAATAGTCAGTAATAAAAATGTTTAACAAATTACAGTTTTGTAAAGATATAGTAAAAATAAAAATTCTTTAATTATTTAATAAAATTTAAAATAACTTTCAAATAATTTGATTGATATTAATATTTATGAGATAGTGAGCATATAATTTTAAATATGGTTAACTATTTTAAAAGTAATGTCCATAGTTTACAAATTGTCAATATAATTTGACGCAATTAACAAAGTTAAGTTATATTGCCTACTATTTGCAACAATTTTACATCCCTGTCCTCTCGCAACTCAAGGCATATGGATAGACTGTCCCCAAACATGCCTTCCCTTCAGCATCCAATGCAAACCTTGAGCTAAATTACACACAAAAGTAAAATAGATATCCAAAGAGAAAAATTGTTTTCATTTTCCCCTTATTTTGAATAATACATGCAATTGTTAGCGAGAAATATGAAAATCTTATTATTAAATAAAACCTAATTCTCAATACTTGTAAAGGGGTAACCACAGCTATTTTTAAATATTTACACCTAGCTGAGATATGTAAAATTTGATTTGATAAATATATGGTAGCTTCGTGAGATATATTATGTTACTTGATAATTAAACTGATCAATATGTTTGATAGGGGTTTTCATAATAATATCTATGAGGCTATTGTATACTTGGTGCCCCTGTATATTACCAGACAAATTAATTATAAAATAAATTAAATTTTATTTTAATATTTCTCACTAATAGTAATGTAATGTTTGGAAAAGTACATTTTATTATAAAAATCATTGTCTAACCAGTAACATCATTTACTTGTGGCTATGAGTGGTTTAATAACAATAATTATAGTAAACACTTGAATATTATGTTTGCATTTCAATCGACATTGAATTGAATGTAACTTTCAAATCACTAACCAATGCTATTATTATTATTTTAAATGTAAAATATTTTTTATTTTTTTTGAATACTTTGTGAACTCGTCTTCACTTATAAAACTTATAAAATCTTTTTTGTATTAAAAATAAAAGTTTTATTAGTATTTTAATTGTGAGTATTTGTGTCAATATTATCAGTAGAAGTTTAAACTTCAATAAGTAATTGACTTTTTTTTGGTGAAAATATTATTTTTGAGTGTATTTTGCATTTCACTGGCACTTGAAAAGTGAAAAATTATTGAAATTCTTGTGAATATTTATTCAAAAAACTTTTGGCAAATAGTTTCAAAACTTTTTCTCAGCACTTGATATACACATAAAAATCTTATTATAAAGTTTTATAATAATAATATGGATCTAAAAATTTGTACCTTGGTCGTGTGTGCGATTATATTATGTAATAGTAATAATGTGCTGGGTCAGTCATCGGCAAATATTAATAATAGTCCAGACAATGCCGGCGCGAATGGGACTCAACAGCAAATAAAATGCAATAAAAAGACGTATAAAGATGTGGACGCTATGATCGCCCGGATGTTGACGTTTGGCAACTCCGGTAGGAAGTTCCCCGAGGAGGCCAAGGAGGTGAACAAGTATTGCGAGTGAGTGGACAGTCAGCTTTTGAGTCTATGCAGTATTTTTATTGATTTAAATTGAATAATTATTATATATGATACTAAAATTATGCTAGTATTAAAACTGTAAATTATATAAATAGAATATTTATTAATTAAATAAACTTTAAATAAATTTAATCATGGTCCCAAACTCGAAGTTAATTATATGTTCATAAACTTTTGAAATAATTTTTTAAAAATTATTTAAACTTATTTTATTTTATTAGTTTCAAGTTTTAAGAATTTTATAATAATAAATAAAAATTTATATTTATATTTGTATTTGCGCAGGGACACCAAAATCATGATCAGCAAGATCGAGAAACTGAATAAAGGTTGCATGAAAGGACTGGTACGTCAGGTGCTGTCCATAACCACCTATTCGGCCAAAAAGACGTTCAATCAGTTGTGTCGCCAGAAGTCCGGTCCCACGAAACGGATGCTCGAAATGCTGGAGTCCTCCAAATGTCTCAATAAAGCCAATCAAGAGATTCAGAAGTGTTACGACAATACGATCGACCACTTCGTCAGCCTTAAGACAGTGGACGATAAGGTGAAGATACCGATGGCCTGTTGGTAGGTATGGGTGCTGTGGGGTTGGTGGGGGGGGGATGAGTGGTTGTAGGATTAGTTGATTGCATACAATTTTATAGTATTTTAACACAAGCTGTAAATTGTATTTAGTGCTTTTAATAGTAGCATATAATTTGTAAAATAGTTATTATATCGGAATATCGATGAGTCCACCGTAAAAAATTTGCTATTATTATAAAATTTACAATAAAGTATCTAGTAAATATTAACAATTACAAAAATGTACAGTTAATTTTTAAATAATTTATTCGTAGCCTTATCTAATCCATTAAACAGCATCTCATAATAATTAAACAAATATATGAAAACGGGAAAATTATTTTTAAAACTACAGTTTATGAACAATGAATATAAAAATGATTTCTAAATCCCTGTCCCTTATAGCGCGTACCACAAGAAAAACAACTGTATGAGCAAACTGGCCGATAGGGTGCCCACATGTACCGAGAAACAGGTGGATATAGCGATCCGGTTCATTGAGTCAATATCGGGGTCGTCCCTAAACTTGGTTTGTGCCGACTATTCGGACTCATCGGACAAATGCGATCAATTCAACGGATTTAAGCCGACATCCGATCCCAAACTGCGGACCAAATCGTTTTTCCTGCCATTAATTGAATTGTTTGACAGCTTTGATGAGGTGTAGGGGCCCGGGAGTTG